ATATATATATATATATATATATGTATATATATATATATAGAGATATAATATGTTTTAAACATATTTTTATTTATTTAATTTATTTCAGAGAGGAAAAGAGAGAGATAGAGATAGAAACATCTATGATGAGAGGGAATCATTGATTGGCTGCTTCCCACAAGCCCCACACTGGGGATTGAGCCAGTTCCTGGGCATGTACCCTGACCGGGAATCGAACCTTGACCCCCGTTCCTAGGTTTTGACACTTAATCGCTGAGCCATGCTGGGTGGGCCCAGGATATTTGACCAGGTATCCGGGCAGCATGGCCTAGCCAAATTGACACATAAAATTATATCAGAGTCAGTTTTAGTGGAGTTTGAAACTATTTATTAAAAATGTAAAGATGCAATGTTTTCTGATTAGTTTGTAAAAATCACAGCCTGACATCATGGACATTTAGTAGCATATTTTAACATAGACCTTTCTACATTGATGGATAAGGTTGATAAAGGAATTGGAAAATGCAGTCAACAGTGAACTTTTTCCCTCAGCTCTTTTTATTTTTGTGAAGTGTCATTTGTTTCTCAGCTGTGACAATCACTAGAAACTAAATGTCACCGTTTAAAGCCAAGGCCTTCGGATTGCTTTCCTTTAAGTATTAAACCAAGATTTTAGAAATAATGAGTCATAGCCAAGTCATTGCTCTTACTAAAATTGTTGTTAGTATTTTAAAAAGTCATGGCCGAGAGGCTTTTGTTTGTTAAATGAGTAAAAATAATGTTTAAAATAAAGTTTTTTTTAAAATATATTTTATTGATTTTTTACAGAGAAGAAGGAAGAGGGACAGAGAGTTAGAAACATCGATGAGAGAGATCGATCAGCTGCCTCCTGCACACCCCCTACTGGGGATGTGCCCGCAACCAAGGTACATGCCCTTGAACGGAATCGAACCCGGGACCCTTGAGTCCGCAGGCTGACGCTCTATCCACTGAGCCAAACCGGTTCGGCATAAAATAAAGTTTAAAAATAATGTTTACTTCATTTTTTTGTGGATTTCATAATTTAATAGTACAGTGTATATAAATTAGAAATCCTATATAATAAAACCCGAACATGCAAATTGACTGAACAGCGGAATGACTGGTTGCTATGACACGCACTGACCATCAGGGGGCAGACACTCAATACAGGAGCTGCCCCGTGGTGGTCAGTCCCTCCCACAGGGGGAGCGCTGCCCAGCCAAAAGCCGGGCTCATGGCTGGCAAGTGTAGTGGTGGTGGCGGAAGGTTCTCCCGCCTCCATGGCAGCGCTAAGGACCCCTTGGGGGATGTGCGCCTCTCCGGCATAACCCGGCAGGTTCTGGACTGTGAGAGGGCGCCAGCTGGGCTGATGCCCCTCCCTACCCCCCCAGTGCACGAATGTCGTGCACCAGACCTCTAGGCCTATCTAATGAAGTGGGAATATGCAAATTGACCGGCACGCCGTCACAAAGATGGCAGCGCCTACAGTGGACGTGGGATTTCCGTAACACAAGATGGCTGCACCCACAGTGGAGGCTGATTTCCTGTAACGAGCCTTAACGAGCAATCAGCAGGAACCTGAGGCTGTGTGACGCTGGGCCAGGGCAGGGGACCTCAGGCTGCACACCCCGCCCTGGTGCCAGGCCAGGGGACCTGAGGGTGCGCTGGGGGACCTGAAGCTGCGGCCCCTGCCCGGCGTGCACCAGGGGACCTGAGGCTGCGCCCTCCGCCGGGTGGGGCTTGACGGGGGCCCTGCGGCTGCGCCCCCTACCATATGGGGCTTGATGAGAGTCCTGAGACTGCACCCCCTGCCTGGTGCCAGGTCAGAGGACCTGAGGCGCGCCCCCCCCCCCCCCCCCCGACAAGGGTGGGGCCAGCTGGGTCTGGATCTTGCTCAGTGGGGGTGGGGCCGGCTGGGTCTTTGGATCTTGCATGATTTTGAGGCGCCGCAGGTAGGCAGGGACTTGACTCTGGGTCCCGTGGCGTGCCCCAGACTCTGACAGGAGGAAGCTTTTCATATACATTTTAGTAATTTTCTTTAATCTCTTACACTTCTATTATAGAGAAAGGGCAAATAGCAATTTTAAAATATTTTCTCTAATTAATCCCCTTTAAAGTGCATGAATTTCATGCACTGGGCCACTAGTATACTTATAATAGAAGTATTTGTTCATATTTTTTACTGATAGGGGAGAGGGTTGTAATAATTTGGAAATTTCAGAAGATAGAGAAGTATAATATAAAATTTGCTGAGGAAGATATGGAAGTTCATAGGTAAATAACTAATGTGATTAAACCATGGGTAATTTAGGAAAGAAACCTAGCATATAGAAAAAAATGGTATTTTAATCTGTTATCAGCATTGTAGACTTGAGCTATGGGTGAGGGAGACAGCACCAAGTTATTAATTTGGAGATTGTTATTAAGGGATAGGAAATGATGGTTTCTTAGGCAACGGGTAAAAGGGAATATTTTTTGAGAATTGAAAGAGCCTTGTAAGATTTATTCGTACAGTATTAGTATTGTGTGTATTGCATTTCAGAACATTTAATGACATCACTATAATCCTGTTGAGGTCGGTGATGGGACTCCCATATTAAGATGGAAAAAGTTCAGACAGCCTTGGTAACTTGCCCAAGGTCAGACATCTGATAAGTGTAGAGCCCAGAATATGAACCCAGATAATATTGGATTCTGTTCAGCCAATTTTCATTGAGTGCCTGCTGTGGTACCAGGCAAGCCATGGTGCTAATACCTTGGTAACTCAGAGTTGAGTAATACATGGTTCTTGCCCTCAATATAGTATGTCAAATGAAAAAGATAGGAATTTTTAGGGAGCCTTGGGACCCAGATAAAGGCCACTTATCCCAATCTGTGAGTTTAGGGCAGCCGTGGGCAAACTACGGCCCGTGGGCCGGATTGAAATGAATAAAACTAAAAAAAAAAAGACCGTACCCTTTTATGTAATGATGTTTACTTTGAATTTATATTAGTTCACACAAACACTCCATCCATGCTTTTGTTCCGGCCCTCCAGTCCAGTTTAAGAACCCATTGTGGCCCTTGAGTCAAAAAGTTTGCCCACCCCTGGTTTAGGGCCATTTTCTGGAGGATAAAGTATCTGAACTGAATCTCAACAGAGGAATAAAAGTGCAAAAAGGTGACTAGGGGAGGGTGTTGCAGCTAGGGAGAACCACATGTGTAGCATGATTCATGCCGAGGAACCTATTTCTGTGTAGGACTTAGAGGATGAGGTGGGTGCGGACCCGCAGAAGAGCCTAGGTTTTTTTCCCTCTTTTACTTCATTGCTTCTCTGGATGAATATTAGAAGCTAGTTAAAGCATTTGTGGATAAAATTAAGACTTTTTACTGTGCTTTTACCTTTTCTAGGATCAGTTCGACAGCTTAGACAAGCATACACAATGGGGAATTGACTTCTTGGAAAGATATGCCAAATTTGTTAAAGAGAGGATAGAAATTGAACAGAACTATGCGAAACAATTGAGGTAAGTTGAATTTTTTTTCAATTCTCAGAAGTGAAATTACATGTGAAAATAGTTGGGTGTGCCCTGGTCGATGTGGTTCAAGTGGTTAGAGTGTTGGCCCACTCACCGAAGCGTCACAAATATGAATCCCGCTCAAGGACACGTCGCTGGGTTGTATGTTCGGTCCCAGTTGGGGCATGTGTTGGAGGCAACCAATTGATGTCTCTCTTATATTCATGTTTCTCTCTCTCTCTTCCATCCCCACTCCCTCCCTTACTTCCACTCTCTCTAAAAATCAATGGAAAAAATATCCTCAGGTGAGGATTAACAAAAAATAAATAAACAAAATAAAAATAGTTGGATATTAGGTAAATGTGATATATTAGAAGTTAAATTCTGTTTTTCATGGAAGTAGATTGAATTAGGTAACTGGCTTGTTTTAATTACCGATTTAATTAAATCATAAGTAGCTTCATTCCAAAAGATACTTAAAATCCTACAGTCAGGAAGCAAAATGCCAGTAAAAAGAAAAATTCCTGGTATAAATTCTGTACTTTACAGTTTTATTCCTTTGTAGTTTTTTGCTTTAGTAATCTTTCTAAAGCATTGAAGATTTCTTCGGTTTCTCATTTTTTTTTTAAGTTTTTATGACTTGGAAATTGAATGTGCTTAGCTGAGTTTCTTTCTGTCAAAAATCATATATATTACTGATTTTGGAATATGTGCAAGAAGATAAAAGTTTTAAAGGGAGAATTTTAGTCTTAAGACAAATGGAATTAATTTCAAGATTTTGTTGTAGCAGAAGATCATTGTTGGACCACAATTTGACAAGTAGTTTTGCTGGAACTTTTAATAGAAATGGTACTTGAAGTCTGAAGACTGGACACAAATCAGTACAAGGTTCTAGGGATGGGGTTAGGATTCTTTATATTTCAACTGACAGAAAATCCAACCTAAACAGGCGCACAGACTAAAAATTCCAGGCATGTTTTATTCTGGGGTCAAATGTGTCCAGGTTCCAGTTTTGGATTCTACCTCCCCTTTGCTGCCTTTATCCTCAGGTTCCATTCAGTAGTACCATTCCTTTTGCCCTCTTAGCTCTAGATTTCATATCTTTATATCCTTACATCCTGGTGAGGAATAATGTTGTTTTTTTCTCTCTGTTGTGCATTTGGGGAAGGAGAGAGGATAGGGAAGGGGGAAAGAAAAAAACGAAGGAAGGGAGAAGAGGGTGATAGAAGGAAAGCAGAGTGCAAGCTTGTATTAGTTTCTTTTTTCCAGAAGTCCCAGCAAGGGTTTCTCCTTTTGTCATGCTAACCCTGTGTAGGTTATATGCTTATCCTGAACAATTCACTGGGGTGAGAATAATTAGAATGATTTGTAGCTAATGATGGGGGAGGGCTAGTTACTCAAGAGAAATTTAAGGTAGTGGATAGCAGAAGGAAGGGGTTGATAGTTGCATGAGAAACCACATGATAAACTACAATAGTAGTGGTTTATACAATCAACTGACTAGGTTTAGGGATGAAATTAGACATGTATGATGAATAGATTATTAATAACTAGTGACCTGGTGCATGGACTTGTGCATATTGAAAGGAAATTAATTAGAAGGTGGCCACGGGGGGCAGGACTGGGAGAGACTGGCCGGACATACCCTGGAGCCAGCTGCACCTGGGGTGGTGCTGTGGCTCGAAGGGTGTCTGTGGGGTCCCTCTGGCAGGTGGGTCCCTCAGCCTGGCCTGTGGGGATTGGGCCGAAACCCGCTCTCCAACATCCCCTGAGGGGTTCTGGAGTGCGAGAGGGCACTCTGTAAAGTTTCTGTCTTCAGGGTGTGGAACGCAAACGCAAGTGTGCAGTAAACCAGATTTGAGGCCGACTGTGTCCCAGCAACAACATAACCCACAGCCGAAGGTGGAATTGTGTGGCCCTGTGAGGAATTGGGCTCCCTCTTCTCTGGTTTCGGGGCGCGTACCCTAGGACTGGCGCTGCCAAGTCACTGCAGCTCGGCAGCTCCTGTGTTGAGCATCTTCCCCCTGGTGGTCACTGTGCATCATAGAGACTGGTCGGATGGTAGGAGGGACACTTAGCATATTAGCCTTTTATATATGTAGATGTTTTTATAATGATGCACATACTATTAGGACATTTACTGAAAGAGTGGCATCATGTTAAATTCTTCATCCATTTGCTTCCTCTGTTTTTTTTTTTAAAGCAGGTATTTCCCATTTGAGAATATAAACAGAGAGCCTATTAGCATATTAATAGTAATAGTGGTGATATTTCACCTGTCCAGAAGTTACACTCTTGGAACTTTACCCCTCAAGAATCTAGAAGCATTAAGGACCTCTGAAAAGTTAAAATAGCAATCAATATTGTATTCACATGTGAACAAAAATTTTTCCTCATTTAATTTTAAATAGATCTCAATTCTAGCACAGTAAGTTCTTTGGATTCCAACTTTTCTAATAGAAGTGAAGAGAAGAAATACTTTAGGCAATACAGTGATGGCAGTGTGAAATGACAATAAAAAAGATTAAAATATTATTAAAAACAGATTAAAAAGAGTTTCCAGTCTAAAGTACCTGTCAGTAAGGGAATGATGAAAAATACTGTGGAATATGCAGTTTAAATAAATCAGGTATACTAGTATATTTAAACTTAAAGGCTATTTACTAGTAATCTATTAGTGTAAAAAGCAAGTTGTAGAACTGAATGTATAGCAAATCTGCTTGCTTATTCTAGTTTTTGAATACAAATTATCTGTAAAATTTGTATGTATTCTCAAGAAGTACAGAAGGATACACCCAAGTTGTTTTATAGCAGTTACCCTCTGGGGAATTGGAGGGGGGATGGTAAGGGAAGGAACTTTTTTTATTTACACTTTTGAATTATTGAAGTTTTTAAAACAGTTGTGTGTTATATTTTTGTAGTTTAAAACATTTGTATTTAAGCAAAGAATGTAGTATACTTCAATAGAGAATCTTACAACAAATTATAAAATAAAAAATTGGTAATTTAGAAGGTAAAATTTCAGCAGTCTGGAATATTTAACTGTCCAGAATAACTCAGGCTTCAGGGTTTCAGGATGGCCAAGCTTTCACCAAAGTAACAGGACTCTAATCAAATGCCAGACTTGTTTGCCTTTCTCTCTGTTTTGTGACTGATAACAATCATTATAATTTTCATTTACTTGCAAAAAAATATTTGAACATCACTTCACTGAAGCAAAGGTGGCTAGAATCCGCAATTATATTATATGAAAATGTAATTTTGCAGTGAGAAAGTAGAGTTTATTTTGCACAGATGCTCTAGATTAGTGATTTGCACCTTTTTTTCCCCCCTTTGTCCAAAGGGAAGAGGTTTGCCTTGTTTATTTCCTCTTCTTTAATGGAAAAATTCTTTTGGTTAACTCCCTCCTGTTTATTCTATGCAGAGGACAATTTCTTTCATAGTAGGCAGGCAGCTTTTTTTCCTCCTAAATAATAACTATATTCAGAATGTTAAACATTTACATTTTAAACATACAAGGTGGGGCAAAAGGTTTACAATTTTGAGTATGGGAAACTCAGAGTTTATTCTTGTATTATTATTTATTATTGTATTATTTTCCACACAAACAATTGTAAACCTACTTTTGCCCCACCCTGTATTACAAGATATTAAAATTTTTTGGCCTTTGGTATTTCAAGTTTATTTTCTTCTCATCTATTTGTCTGTTTTGATGGCTTTGGTTTAATTTTACCTTGATTTTTGGTAGTGGTTTGAGGATGGTAATAAATAGAAAACAAAGCATCTAATTATGTTTAAAGACATAGCTATCCACAATTGAGTCATGTCCATTTTGATTGATGATAAACTGATTTAAGATAATTTAGTAGAGTGTTTTATGTTTGCAGACATAAAAAACTGAACTCAGTCATTCCTTTAATAAATTTATTGTATTTGTATGGCAGAGATTAAAATTTCTAAGTTAAAAAATAGTTCTATATACATAGGCATCATTTTATTTTATTTTTTAGTAAAAATAATTATGGTATTAAGTGCTATCATAAAGATTGTTATGTGAAATTATATTACCCTACTGCCACCCCAGATCATGTCTTTCTGGTTTAAATGTGTGGCAGTGTGGTATACTAGAAGAGAAATAGATTGGACGATAGAAACCTTAAAAGCTACTCTTATCTTAAGGAGAGCAGAAATCTCTCCAAATACCTTTATTTTTTAGTTTTTTCTCTTTTTTAAATCTTCTTTGCTCAATCCATCCACCCCCTCACTCTCCCACCTCTGATAGCTGTCAGCCTGCTTTCTATGAGTCTGCCACTATTTTGCTTGATAATTCATTTTGTTCATTAGATTCCACATTATGAGTGAAATCATATGGTACTTGTCTTTCTCTGACTGGCTTATTTCACTTAGCATAATGCTCTCCAGGTTCATCCATGCTGTCTCAAAGGGTAAGATTTCCTTCTTTTTTATGGCCAAGTGGTATTCCATTATGTAAATGTACCATAGCTGTTTTATCCACTCATCTACTGATGGGATACTTCCAAGATTTGGGCTACTTTCATATCTTGTCTGTTGTAAATAACACTGCAGTGAACATAGGGGTGCATATATTCTTTTAAATTAGTTTTTGAGGTTTCTTTGGATAAATTCCCAGAAGTGGAAGTGCTGGGTCATACGGTAGTTCTATTTTTAAATTTTTTGAGGTATCTTCATACTACTTTACACAGTGGCTGTACCAATCTACATTTCCATCAACAGTGCACTAAGTTTCCCTTTTCTCCACATCCTTGCCAACACTTGTTTGCTGATTTATTGATGATAGCCATTTTGACAGGTGTGAGGTGATATCTCATTGTGTTTTCAGTTTGCATTTCTCTAATGATTAGTGACATGGAGCATTTTTCCATATCTCTATTGGGCATCTGAATGTTCTGTTTGGAAAAGTGTCTATTCAGGTCCTTTGTCCATTTTTGAATTTCATTGTTTGGTTTTTGGTATTGAGTTTTATAAGT